TTAGCATCAGCTACAAAGTTTTGTTGAAACCGTTCTTCTGTTGCATGACAGGTGTCCCCAGTTAGGCAAGATGGTGCACAGCTGTGATTCCTGCATGGGGGCTGACGTCACAAGATGTACAGCTGTGATTCCTGCATGGGGGCTGACGTCACAAGATGGCGCACAGCTGTGATTCCTGCATGGGGCTGACGTCACAAGATGGTGCACAGCTGTGATTCCTGCGTGGGGGCTGACGTCACATGAAGATGTACAGCTGTGATTCCTGCATTGGGAGGTTGATTGTCACAAGTCTGAGGCCAGCCTGGCCTACATAGAATGTTCCAGGACAACCTGAGTGTTGTAGCAAGACCCTCTTTCCCTCCTTGCCCCCCTCCTCAAAAGGGAGCAGCACTCCAGCTATTCCTGGAGCATCTTGCCTGTGGGAACGGGAGTCAGCAATGGATGCCACTGGATTCTGCCGGTTTTCTTCCTGCTCAGCTCCTTCCCTTCCTTTCACATCTGCATGTCAGGGATAAGATTTTCCTCTCACAGTATTTTTCAGTAGAAATGTAGCGACTTATCAGAGGAGAGAGAGGAAGGGCAAAAGCCCACCTTTTTTTAACAGTTCAACCAACAACCTCATTTTCTTGCAACAGTTGAAGGGAGCGTCTTATGAATAATGGATGGTTGCCTGATGAATATGCACAGCCTATTATGCCTGTGCGGTCTGGTAAATAATTTATGAGCTAAAATGTTCCTCACCTTGTCACTGTACAAAAACTTAAAAAAAAAAAAACGAAAACCCACAGCATATTTCCCCTTTGAACTGCAGGGAGATCTGTCAGAGCTGGTGACGGCAATGCAACTTTACATCACTGCTAAAATTAAATAGAAAGCCCTGCGTGTGCAGCTCTGAGAGGATAGTAAACACGGAGCACGCTTTTGCTAGACTCCTTGCCTCATCCATGTTTTCTAAACTTCTGGGTCCTCACCTTTTTTGGGGGGGAGGGGGTTGAGACAGGATTTCTCTGTAACTTTGGAGCCTCTTCTGGAACTAGCTCTTGTAGACCAGGCTGGCCTTGAACTCACAGAGTGCTGGAATTAAAGGCTTGTGCCACCACCGCCCAGCTCTGGTTCCTCACCTCTGCCTTGTGTTGTCACCAGAAAGGATTTTCGCGGTCTCCTCATTGGGCTTCAGTCTGACCTGTGACCTATCTCCCTTGTCTTAGGAAAACTGGCCCAGACTGCGTTGGCCATGCTCCACTGTCTGCTCTTCACAGCGGAGAGGTCTCCCGGAGACTGACTTGAGCCTCTGCTGCGTCTCCTTCAGCTCACACCCTCTAAAGCCACATCACTGGGTATCCTTAGCCTTGGGGCGAGAAAGGGGAGGGCAAAGTTGCTCATGCAACCGAGGGAAGTGTTTGGAATACACTCATGGGTCCTGGCAGAACTTGGCTTCTCTATGACATATTTAACATGGCTTGAAACTGGGTCAATTTTCAAGTCGTGGAAGGTGGGAACTCAAGGTTTATCTGCTAAGATTTCAGGGGCTTTTAAAGCAAGCACCGTGTCAACGAAGGCTCTCAGTGTCCCCGTGTTTGTCACAGGTTGGGTGCCTGTGGGAGATGAGGGAAGGACGGGAAAGTCCTTGCTATCTGCCTTTTAGGCAAACTGGGTACATTTTCAAGAAACAGAGGTGCTGGCAAAAGGCTCGGTGGGTAAAGGCCTTGATGCTAGGCTCCCTACTGGAAATGGATTCCCCAGAATCCACTCACATGGCGGAAGGAGAGAACCAACTCCTATAAGTTGTCCTCTTGCCCTTGGAGCACTCTGACACACCTCTCTCTCCGAGTAAATGTAACAAAAGAAACAGAATAAATGACCTACAAACTACAAATTATATTACAAAGTTATCGGGATAGGGATGTAATTAAAGCAAAACCCCTTTACAACAATGTGGCATTTGGATCTAAGAAGGATTCTTTTTTTTTTTCTGGTTATCAGATGGTCTTTTATTGAAATATTTTCTCTTGTTGCTTCTTAGCTAGCTGGACATTCCACAGCACCACTGTTGATGTCATCAATGATGTCATGAGGGTGGCGCCCATCCACATTGCAGCCCACAGACTGTGCAGCACCCAGGATCTCTTTAATAGTTCCAGAAAGTTCTCTGGCTAAAGACCTGTGTCGCATCTGCCGGGCAATGTTGACGATCTCGTCGAAAGTGATATTTCCGCTGTGTTTAATGTTCTTCTGCTTCTTCCTGTCTCTTGGTGGCTCCTTGAGGGCTTTGATGATCAGGGCAGAGGCAGAGGGCACCACCTCAATCTGGGCCTGTCTGTTCTGGATGGTCAGTTTCACTGTAATCCTCAGGCCTTTCCAGTCACCGGTTGCCTTGGCAATATCATCACCAACTTTTTTCGGAGACAGACCCAGGGGGCCGATCTTAGGGGCCAAGGCGGATGTGGCGCCGACCTCACCTCCGGTGCACCTCAGGTACACGACTTTGATCTCGTTGGGGTCGAACTAGGGCGGCATGGTGGAGGCGGCTGGTGTCGGATGAACCCGGATTCGGGACGACCGAAGAAAGTTGCACCGTTGCCTCCTCCGAGCCGAAAACCGAAAGCCTAAGAAGGATTCTTAAAGAAAATAAATTTTCAGAACAGTTTGCCAGACGTCCCCCCGCCCCCAAAAATCCAATTAATTAGAAAGAATTCAAGATGTGTGACCTAGGTAGGCCCCACCTACCTTCCAGCCCTCTTTTGGACAATTCTTCAGTCAAGTCCTGTGCTCCAGCCTGCTATATGCACAGTGTGACTTCTCTAGCCCTGTTCAGATATGAAATCCAAATCAACACAGGACCTTTGGGAGGTGTGCAGCTCATTGGTGCATCCAGAACATTTCCTAATCCCTCGCCACCGTGGGAGGTTACTGCCCTTGAAGCAGGATCCTGGGTCCTGGGTCCACTATGATCTTCAATGCCCCCCAACCTCTTGAAATTTTGTGCTGAGACCACAGTTGTAATTAGTTAAGATTTATTTTTATTTATGTATTTGTATGTGTGCCAAGCATGTGCTAGTACCCACTAGGAAAAGGTTCCAGGTCCCCTGGAGCTGGAGTTCCAGGTGGTTGTGAGCCACCCTCTGGGGGTGCTGGGATCTGAACTCGGGGAGAGCACCAGGAACTCTTAGCCAGTAAGCCATTTCTCCAGCACCCCCCCCCCCCTTTGTTTAAAACAAAATCTTCTCATGTGCTAGCCTGGGAACTCATATGTAACCAGGCTGGCCTCAGACTCCCGGGTGCTGGGATTATAGGCATATACTGTCACCCACAGTTTAATGTGTAGGCAGAGACTGACCCCAGAGCTGTGTTGAGCTACATCCCCAGGCTCTTTTTCCGAGTGTGTGTGTGTGTGTGTGTGTGTGTGTGTGTGTGACTTTGTTGTCCAGGCTGGTCCCTAATTCACGGGCTCAGTTCATTCTCAGCTTCTTCAGTAGCTGGTCCTACTGGTGGGGATGCTGCCAGGACGGCCAGTGGAAGAGCTGGGATGAAACTCCAAACTTTCTGGTCCTTATCCATCTAGTCCCCGCGCCTCCTCACTGGCCCCAGGAAACAGCGACAGGCCCAGCTCTGCCGCAAACTTCATTGAGCAGAGAGCCTCTGGGTGCCAGCAAGATCCAGGCAGCCTGGAGTGTAGCTGCTGGTCGAAACCACCCGGTACCGCTCCCCTCTCCTCTGCTGGGCTATGCGCTTCCTTCCACTGGGGTTTTAAGGGACTGTCTGGCTCTCCACTGCCTTTCTCCTAATGCTGCTTCTGCACCATCTACCTCCAGGTCATCCAAGAAACGTGGGTGTGGGTGGGGTGAAGGGGAACATTAGATTGACAACAAGCCGCTTAACTGTTGGAATCCACCTTCTATGGCTTCATTAACCTCCCTCCTCTTCTCCCCTCTCCGCCCCTTGGTCTTCCTTCCAGTTATTCATTACCTCCCAAACCTTCCGTCCCCAGTCCCCCTCAGCAGCCTCTAAGCCTTCCCTTCCCTTCAAACCCTCCCAGCACCGCGACCACGACCACCGAGCTTGTTTTTCTTTCTCTATTACACCAAACTTTTTCTTTTCACACCTTCTCGATCCTGACAAGCCAGCAGGCTGTGGTTAGGACTCCGCCCCTCCAGGAAGGTGGGAAGGTGAGCGGCTCGGAGCGCTCGGGACCCTGGTCCCCTCTGGGATGAACCACGAGGGCACAGCTGCTCCCGAGGCCCTGCTCCACTGAGCCTGAGCGTCGTCCACGTTCCCATTCCTTTCCCAGGCTGGAGGATAGACGTGAACTTGAGGTTCGCCGTTGAAAAAGGCAGTTGACTACCAGGAGAGTCACAGTTGGACACTGACCCAATCCTCGGCTGCAGGGAAGGTGACCGGGGCCACCGATCGAGACTCCGACTCCAGGGCTACTCTCTGAGAGGGTCGAGTCAAGTGGCCCCACAGGCCCTGGGTTCTAGTCCCGACGGGGCCTGGGGTTCCTCCCCACCCCCACGAGCCGTTCGCCGCTCCCCAGACCCCCTTCCCTTTCCTGACCGCCGCCCCCGGCGGCTGGCGCGGGAGGTGCAGCATGCGGCAAAGCGCTTTGCATAAATTATGCTCATGACGCAGCAGCTAAAAAAATCCAAGTAGCAGAAGGAGGGAAAGGGGGGGAGGGAGGAGGGGGCGAGGAGGGGACTGCACCTGGCCGCCCCCGCCCCCGGCGTCCCGGCCCGCGCGTGGCCAGCAACCCACCACTGCTCCGCTCTGCCAACCCCGGCGGGGGGCTCGGGGGGCGGCGGGTCCCGAGAGGCTCTGGGCCGAGCGAGCCGGGCCGAGCCGCTCCGGCTTCTTTGTCTGCGGGCGGCAGCCTCGGCCACGGCCCCCTGGCCCGGGCAGGGACATGAGTGTCTAGTCGGTGGCCGCTGGGCAGCCGGGGAGCGGGAGGCTGGGCTTCGGGCTCCGGTGAGTAGCGGGGTCCGGGGCGGGGAGGGCTTTGCACAGAGGGGGAGGGGGCCGGGCAGGGGAGGTTTCGGATTTGGTTAATATGCAATGCCCGTAATTAGCATAATTTATATATTTATGATAAAGAGGAAAAAGGCGCGGGGCCGGGGCGGCGGGCTGCGGCCCGGGAGGCGGGAGCTGTGGGAGCTGACGGCCGCGCTGTCCACTTGAGGCCGCAGACCCCGGGCCGCGCCCTGGTCCCCCGGTGCCCCGCGGACACCCGTGAAGAGGCGGCTGCCAGGAGGAAGCCCTGCCCTAGAGCCCGGGTTGGGTCTCGGGAAAAGGCTTGCAGAGCCCTGGAGACCCGGACGCTTGGGTTCCGGCGACCTGTCACCACTCCCCCGGAGAAAGGGCGCCAGGGACTCTGGGGTAGAGACCTCGCTGTGGCTGGAAGGATGGGGAAGTGGTGGGAGGGTCGCCGTCGACCAGAGCGTGAGCACTTCATAAATATTTAATGACAGTATTAGTATTAATAATGTCATAAAATGGGCCCCGTGTGTCCTCCCGGGACATTTGCACCTGGCAAGGCCGAGGGCTCTCCAGAGTGGCTTCTAACCCACTTGAGCGCTCAGATCGCTGCCTGGGCTGGGCTGGAAAGCCTAAAACCTTTACAGAATAGTCCCTGAGGCTGTCAGGAGGAAATAAAAGCTTATCAAGAAGCCTTGCTAGGCCAAACACAGGAAGCTCTAGCAGAGATGGAGAAACTGCAGCCTCTTCGCTCTAAGTTCTTGCTCGTGAAACAGAAGGTTGATCTTCAGTTCCATAAGTGTATATACCTCCTCCTGTCACTTTGGTAGTCCACGCCAGTCAACACTGACAGGCGAGAGGCGCATATGTTTTGATTGAAGTTGGTGCTCGGGGTGATGTTTGTGTGACCCAGACAGTATAACTACATTAATTGGTTCTATAACCAGCAAGGGCCACACGAAGACAAAGCCCCACACCTGTCCAGGAGTGAGCAAATGGATCATAAACACCAAAACAAACTAGAGAATCCGGAGAGGGAGGAAGGGGGAGAGAAGGAGAAAGAGAGGGAGGGAGGAGGGAGGGAGAGAGAGAGAGAACCCTGGTTTTCTTTTCCTCCTTGAGGCACCACTACAGGCAGCTAAGGAAAGGTGAGGCTGTGGCTCAGAGCTGTAACCCAGGCAGAGGGGATGATGAAGCAGGAGTATCCGAGATTCACATAGTGAGACTGCCTCAAAAACTAAAGACAAACAAAAGCCCCAAAACAAGCATCAACTTCAATAAATACAAAACAGAAAGGGGGCGCTGGCTAGCCGGCTCCGCCTGTGCTGCCAAGCCTGCCACTGGATGTTGGATCTCTAAACCTCACGTGGTAGAATCCAAGAAATGACTCCCACAAGTTGTCTTCACACGCAGGCTGTGACACGGGCACACCGTGGCACTCGGGCTCCAGCACGGTATACACACACAGACTAAGTAATAAATGTCAAAAAAGAAGAAAAGCAGCAAATGTCAAAAGCAAACAGGCAGAACCAAAATCTAGCAACAGCAACAAATGACACAAAAAAGCCAGACATTGGTGGCGCACACCTTTAATCCCAGCACTCAGGAGGCAGAGACAGGCAGATCTCTGAGTTCGAGGCCAACGTGGTCTACAGAGTGAGATCCAGGACAGCCAAGGCTGTGCAGAAAGACCCTGTTCAAAACAAAACAACAACAACAACAACAAGAAAAACAAAACACTAAACAAAAACAAAGGAAAGAAAGTCTGGAGATAGAGCTCAACAATATATTACATCTGTACAATTCACACACACACATTTGAACGCACACACACACTCAAACATATGCACACAGGCACGCACACACTCAGCCTAATGATGGTAAGGAGAAAGTACATGTCACAAATTAGAAGACACTGGCTCTATAACCAGGTGGTGGTGGCGCACATCTTTAATCTCAGCACTCTAGAGGCAGAGGCAGGTGGATCTCCGTGAGTTCGAGGCCAGCCTGGTCTACAAGAGCTAGTGCCAGGACAGGCTCCAAAGCAACACAGAGAAACCCTGTCTCGAAAAACAAACAATAAGAAGAAGAGGAAGATGAGGAAGTTGAGGAGGAGGAGAGGAAGAAGAGGAAGAGGAAGAGGAAGAGGAAGAGGAAGAAGAAGAAGAAGAAGAAGAAGAAGAAGAAGAAGAAGAAGAAGAAGAAGAAGAAGAAGAAGAAGAAGAAGAAGAAGAAGAAGAAATTGGTGCTGTGTGTGGTACTCAGGGGTGCAGCACTGACCTAGCATACACAGGGCAAATTCAAACCCCAGAAATGAAAATTAAGAAATAGAAAAGAAAGAAAAGTGTTTTCTAAAAGGTTCTCTGCTTCAAGGGAAAAAAAGAAACATGAGTGCAGTGTACAAGCTTTTTTTTTTTTTTTGCTGTCTAGCCCCATGTCATTTATTAAAAGCTTGAGTTATCTGATTTAGTTGGCTTTTATTTTTAATGTGTGTTTGGGAGTTTCTTAAATCAATTAGAAAAAGTTGTGATGAAGTTCAGAGTGCTAACCTGGTTTGTTGGCACTGGCTGGGGATAGTAGGTGTATTGTGTGAGGGCACAGCTTGCTCAATTGCTAAAGCTTCATAGAGTTCCAGCTTTCACATTCAAGTTGAATCAGATTGTTTTCTAAGACAGCTATGAACAAACAATTCACCAATTTTCATTCACTCAAGATAGGTAATGCAATTTCTGATGAAATGTTTTCTATTCTTTTATCTTCTCTTATTTCTATGATTTGTCAGAATTTGGTGTTTTATATTAATTCTGAAGTTAAGTAGTCCAGCTACTAAATGGCAACAGCTAGGGGAGCATAGTACAGTTAAACCAAGCTATATAGTTTTTGAATGAAGAGGAAGCCAGTCTGACTGATTTCAAGGCCCTTTAATTAAATCTGTCATTTTGTATGCTTTATTCAAAATATATTACCCCATTCTGAAAGGCCATGTTAAGTGTGTACAAGCTTTTAATGGCAGCTTTGGGAGGCAGAGGCAGGCTGGGCTCCGTGAGTTCAAGGCCAGCCTGGTCTACAGAGTGAGATCCAGGACAACCAGGGCTATGCAGAGACCCTGTCTCCAAAGAGAGATCAGCAGAGAGAAAAGAAAAGAAAAGAAAAGAAAAGAAAAGAAAAGAAAAGAAAAGAAAAGAAAAGAAAATAATCTGGCGTACACTCACATTTCCTCCATGGTTAATTACTGTGCTATTATAACACTAGTGCTCGGCTGTAACTCCGCGGCAGAGTGCATGCGCTGGGTCTACCTTCCTGTCCCATAAGTAAACAAGTAAGTAAAGCCATAATGGTAACCATTTACATTTTATACTATTTTATGATTTGAAACGTTTTGTATGCATGCTTTGTTTCAGTTAAAATATCAGCAGTAGTAGAACTGGGTATGAAACTCGGTTGGGATAGCGCTTGCCTAGCCTACATGGAGCCCCGGGTTCCATTCCCAAGGCCCCATTAGCTTAGTATGTGCACCTGTAACCCCAGCACTTGGGACTGGGAGACAGGAGGACAAGAAGTTCGAGGTCATCTTCAGCTAGGTTGGGAGTTCCAGGTCAGCCTGGAATACATGCATCTTGTCTCAACAAACAAACATGCAAACCAGAACAATAAGAGTAACACTGATGTAGTGTCTGCGTGCTAGGCCCTATTGTTACGTAAATATTACCAATTTAATGCTGGACATAGCGGCATAAGAATGTAGTGATCACTTGATTAGCCTAGCGATGTAGAAAAGCCCTGGCCAAAAACATTCCCTTGGGAGCTGGAGAGGTGGCTCACAGTTGCGAGCACCTGCTGCTCCAACAGAGGACTGTGTTCCATTTCCAGTGGCCACACGGCACCTCCCTACAGCCTGTAAACCCAGGAACAGTAGGAAAATCTGTAGAGAAAGCAGATGAGGAGCTCCCAGGGGCTGGGAAAGGCAGTGCCTGCGGAGTTTCGTGTTCGTGAACTAGAAGTGCTCCTGGATGCACAGCCTCGTGAGTGTACAGAATCCTGCTGAAAGAGATGCTTTAAAACCCCGGAAGTGCTGGCCCACACCGCTAACCCCAGCACTCAGCAGTCAGAGGCAAGTGGCTCTCCGAAGTTCTAGGCTAGCCTGGTCTATAATGAGCACTTGCTAGTGCGCACCAAGCCTTGAGTTCAGTCCCCCCCTCCCCCGCATCCCAGAGAGAGCGATGGATAATACAATAAAATACTTAAACTGGTGAGCTCTCTGCATGTGACTTTATATTTGTTGGGGCTGCTGTAACAGAGTATCGTCCCTGTAGCTGGTAAACAATAGAAACTCACGGCTGCTGATGCTGGAGGCTGGAAGGCGGAGGTCAAGTTGTCTAGTGAACTAGCCTGCCTTCCTAATCTCACCTCCCAGACACTCTCATCTCTTCCGTCTGTCACCTCGGGGCTTATGATTCCAACAGATGAACTGAGAGGGAGGCAAGCTTTCAGACCATAGCAGAATTTTACCTCAGTTTATAAAAGGCTTGTGGGGCTTTGGTTATAGTCCGGTGTTGTAGATGTGCATATAACTTGACTAATTTGTTCAAGGCCCTAGATTCAGTCCTTGGGATGACAAAAAAACCTTACAGGAGAAAAAGGTAAAGTGAGATATAGACCAGTGTTCTGGTCCCTCAAGTGTGACACGGTGGCAATGACATCCCCAGTCCCCAGAGTGGAGATGAGTGATATGTCAGTGTCATCCCACAGCAGGTGCCCAAACTAAACGTCAGTTACCTTTTCTCCTACATCTCCTACACAAATGTCTAACCTGTTTGCCTACTTTTTTAAAAAAATGACTCCAGCCAGACAGCCTGTCCTCACACGGGGTTCACCCACTTCTTGCTTCCTGCTCCTGGTAGGCTATGCCTCCGCTGGGAACACATTGCCTCCTGTGTACTGGACAGCATGGTCCCTGGGCCATCCCTGCAGAGTCTCTTGAAATCCACCACCAAATCTGAGGCTCCAAGGGCTGTGGGGAGGGGTCTAGGAAGCGGCATTTTTTGGTCTAGCTCCAGAGAGTCAGAGCACCGGGTTGAATTCTCTCTACTGCCTCTTCGGGAAGTGCCCAGGGAAACACTGATGTCCAGAACCCTCCTCTCGCCTTTGCCCAAGGTTCCAAGTGTCTCTTAGCTCCACCTTGGACTCTTGTGGACTGGGGGACCCCAGGGACAGATGACCTCCCTCTCTCCTTTGCCTTCCTAAACACAGATCTTCTGGGTTCCCCTGGGTGCAGGCTCTCCAGGATGCTGGAGTCTTCAAAGTTTTTAGCGTCTTGCTTTGTTTTCTTCTGTGTTCTCAGGAGAGCCTGTCTTCTCTTCTCCTACTGTTCTAGTTCTGACTTTTCTAGGCAGCCTGGAAACTTAGGCGCCGCAGCTCACCAGCCTTTGCTTTCCTACCCAGAATGCACTAGGTGGGGACTGGCACCCACCCCACCCGGCAGTGACCATGGATCCTGGAGCTGGCTCTGACTCATCTCTGACCGTGAATGAGCAGGTATCTCCTGGGGGTGAGAAGTGGGGATGCTGAGGGTCACGGCCTGAGGGGTGGTATGGCCAGGGAGAAGGACATAATGGGGCCTCTCACTGTCTGTCTCTTATTAAAGTTTATGATCACTCGACCTGCCCAAAGGAGTGTCTACTGGAATTTCTTGGGCGGAGTTTGGGATCTTAAGTAGCAACTTTGAAATTTAAATTAAACTCCACTGGGTAGCTGGAGAGATGGCTCTGCAGTTAAAAGCATTGACTGGTCTTGCAGAGAACGTGGCCTTGAGTCCCCACACCCTCGAGGCTACTCACAACCTAGTTCCAGAGCATCCGATGCCCCCTTCTGGCCTCTGCAGGTGCTACATGCATATGGTGTGCAGATATGTATACATGCAGGCAAAACACCTAAAATGAATACACATAAAATGAAAAGTAAGATCTCAAACACCTGTTAAAGTACACAAATACCTATACATGTTTGAACAGGTGACTTCGTTTTTCTTTATGCTTCTATGTATTTTCTGTGATTTCTGAAATGACTAAGCCTTAAAAGAAGAAAACAAATCAGTGTCCTTTGAAATGAAATCATAGTGAAATCCCCCAGGTCAAGGTTGAGTCTGCCAAAGGAACCTGCTGTGGTATATATTCATTCCTCTTGATGGCTCCCAGAAGCCTTTTCTGGCACGGTCGGTCTATGGCAGAGCCAGTTTCCAGGCTGCAGGGCTGGAGTGGTTCTAACCACTATTGATGATGGACACAGCTCTTTCTCACGTATGGGGTTCACTGGGGATTCTGAAGGGCCAGGATGGTGCATTTCAGTGATGGAATAAAGAGCTTTGTACAGGGTGTGCAGGGTGTTTGAGCAGGGACTCGCGGAAGGTGCCCTCGCCCTTTGAGAACGCCGACAATGGAAATGAGGTCCTTGGGATACACAGAACAGGGTAGGGTGAGGCAGGAGAAACTGTATTTGGTGATTCTTGACCCTTCTTTGGGGGAACTTAGCTTGCAGGGAACTTGTGGTGTCTGAGTTTAGAAGTTACTCAAGGGTTGGAGACATGGCTCAGTAGGTAAAGCATTTGTAGCATAGACAGCCCGAGTTAGATCCTCAGGACCCACATAAGAACGCTGCATGCGGTGTGTATGTCTGTAATTCAGCCCTACTCCCATGAGTGAGAGAACCTCCTGGAGGAAGTACACAGCAAGGTGAGAGGAGAGAATCCCTGAAGGTGCGTGAGCACTGTGTCATGCGTGCATGTGTGCACACACAAGAGCATGCACACACCACACACAACATTAATGAAGACAAACTGTAGAACACTGTGGAACACTCAGTTTCCACACTCCCCCTCTGGGAGCCTCCAGGTGGTCTCTAAGGGAAGTTAGGACAGATTTCTTCCTGGTCTCTAGAACCTCAGTATCCGAGAGGATGCTCTTGCAGGCTCCAAGAATGAGCCATTTCCCACTTCCTGAGATAAGTCCAAGATGGGGAACAAACAGAAATATCTCCAAATGGTTTGGCACTTTTCTTTCTGCCTCCAGGGCCTGCTTGCTTCTAGCAGCTCCTTGTTGGAAATCAGGGACAGTAGCCTGGCCCAAATTCTGGCCTTCTCAGAGTTCCCGTTCTCTGGATGAGAACTCCACATGCTGAATCCTCCCATCCCCAGAGCGCTGGCTCCTTTTCCAAGCGCTGTCCCCCATCCCCTACTTGCAGGTCATTGTGATGTCAGGCCATGAGACCATCCGAGTGCTGGAAGTCGGGGTGGACGCTCAGCTCCCGGCTGAGGAGGAGAGCAAAGGACTGGAGAGCGTGGCTGCTGACGGCTCCCAGAGTAGAGGCCCTGCCGAAGCTGGCGAACCTGCTGCTGAAGCCGGGCAGCGCGACCCAGACCACTCTGCAGAAGCAACTGGTAGGAGGCTGTCGCTAATCTGCTGCTTCTCTCTCTTGGCCCAGGTGGCCCAGGTGGCATTAGGGCCTTGTCTTCCTGCCCGTTTGGCGCCTCTGGCCACAGTCCATAATGCTGGCCAGTTTCCAGGAATACCTTACCCTCCTTATATCTAGAATTGGGCTTATTTGCACCCATGCCTGAACTGAGATGGCTTTGGGTGAAGATTGGCACATCTGGCCTAGAGAGGGTCCTAGGTCTACACTAGACTGCCCGAGCCATGGAAGGAGAGAGACTCTCGGGATCCCTCCAGCTTGCCAGCTATATCCCGTTTATAGCAGAGCTGGGAGATCCCAGGAGCCGAGGGTGGAAGGACATCTTGTCTCCCTTGAGCTAAGGATCAGATTAGGACATTGCCTGCCTGCCTTCACTGGGTTTATAGGTGCTGTCCTTCAACACTGCCGCCAGGGTGTGAGGTGAGTTCTGGCCTGACGCAGCTGGAGAGTCGCTGGCGCAGCTTAGCTGTGGGGGCCGTCCCTTGTCTTTCTTCACCTGCACCTTGCATGCAGCTGTTGCATCTTGTAAGGATCCTGAACCTCCTTGCTACTTTCCTGAGTCCCACGATCCATCTCTGTCAGCCTTCAGCCTTTCTTTCTTTTTTTATTCTCCGACAGTCTTATACCTATGTATCCTGAACTTTCACCTTCTCTCCGCCACTGAAACCCTTCTACTTGGCTGCCTGTTTTTTTATATTTTTTAAAAGCCACCAAGTTTAACTTTCATTGCTTGCATGAGGATGTGTGAAGGGTTAGTTACTGGAATGTGGACAACTTACTAGTGGCTATACTACTGAAGGAACTGACCAGTACTTATTCATGGCCCACAGTTCCTCAGTAAGGAAAGTAAGTTGGCCCCTTGCTGGTATTTGATGTATTGGTGACAGGCCTGGTCTTGTGCAGTAACCACAGCTACAGTTAGTCCCTAAGTGCAATAACTGTGTCATATCCAGAAAGCAGACTCCCAGCACCCCAGAGTCTCTGGCTTTCCCATTCCAGCCTCCTCTTCTGAGCTATTCCCTAAGCCTCCGGGCAGGGGGGAGAGGGGGGAACGGGGCGCTGATACAAATGTCTCGCTTAGGACTGACCAGCTCAGGGTCTCTTATTCTCCATGTTCTGACCCTCTGTGTGTCTGGATCAGCCCCCACTCACTGCAAAAAGAAGTTTCTCTGTTGGAGAAGGAGAGTTCACCATGTCCTAGTCCGTCGTATTGCTCCTTAACCTTCCCCTTACTGGACATGGGTGCGCAACCTCTCAGCAGGCTAGCGGCTTCGCTTACTGCTCCCTCTCCCGTACTGGACAAGGGTGTGCAAGCTCTCGGCAGGCTAGCGGCTTCACTTACCGCTCCCTCTCTGAGGGAGAGAGAAAGAAAAAGAGCACCCCGCCCCCAGCCTAGGAAACTCTGTTCCAGTATGGAGGCCAGGATGACCCCCCTGCTTCTAAAGGAGAGGGCTTCAGAGATGGGGCACGACAGACAAGGTCGCTGTCCCTGCCATCCTTTGGACTCACAGGGCCATGTGGAATGGATTCTTTTTTTGGAAAAATTCAGGGAGTTTCTTGGGTTTATCCACAGTGCCCATTTTTCCCATTTTCTTGACCCCATTTTTTTCTGGTGTCAGGATTCTCCTCTGACCCAGCCTGCTCTCTCTTAAATCAACTGCTCACGCCATAGCACATGTGTTATAGTGCTGAGCGTCTTTTCTCACCGCTATAGACGGCTTCACCGGAGTCCAGGGGTTTGAGCCGGGGCAGTCGGGTGACGGGTCCTTTCGGTAGCTACAGTATTAAGATGGGACCGAGCCATCAAAACAAGCCCAGGTAATAGGAACCTCAGGGCGAAGAGTCTAGTGGTTCACGTCCCTCCGACTACGTCCTCGTCACACACTCTGTCCCTTCTTGTGGTGCAGGAGGGAAGACTCTGGAATTGAGACACACCCCCATGTTTTTTCATCTGCTTTTTTTCCATTATTTTCTTAGATTTATTTCTGTGTGTGGGTGTTGTGCCTGCATGTACCACTTATGTGCCTGGAACAGTCAGAGGTCAGAAGAGGCTATCAGATCTGGGACTGGAGTTATAGATGGTTAGCATTACAGAGCCATCATGTGGGTGCTGGGAGCTAAACCAGGGTCCTCCACAAGTGTAGGCGGCGCACTTAACAGCCGAGCCATCTCCCCATGCCGTGCTATGCCCACTTCCTGTGCTGACATGGTCTCACACATCTGCTTTGGATTCGGCCCACCCTCGGCTATTTTATCCTCATAAACAGTACTTCTTTCAGTGTGTTTGTACTGATCTTTATTTCTTTATAGTATGGCCCACTAAAATTTCTTTGAAGAAAAGCTACTTGTTAAAACTGAGTGTTGTGGCACAAGACTATAACAGTGGCGCTGAGGAAGCTGAGGCAGAAAGTGCTGAGAGCCTGAGACCCGCCTGGGCTGGATAGTGGTTGCCAGATAGCACCGGCTATAGTGTGAGACCTGTCTCAGAGAAAAAAGAATCACTTATTGATATAGAAGGAAATTTTAAAAGAAGACCAGTTATTAACAATAAGAAGAGAAGGCGGCTGGGCATGGTGGCACACGCCTTTATTTATTTGTTTTTTAATTTTTAATTTTTTTTAATGATTTGTTTACCTTTATGTTCATTGGTGTGAAGGTGTCAGATCTCATGGAACTGCATTTTCAGACAGTTGTGAGCTGCCATGTGGGTGCTGGGAATGAACCTGGGTCCTCTGGAAGAGCAGTCAGTGCTCTTAACCGCTGAGCCATCTCTCCAGCCCCTGGCACACGCCTTTAATCCCAACACTCAGGAGGCAGAGGCAGGAGGATCTCTGGGTTCGAGGTCAGTGTGGTATAAATAGGAAGGAGAGACCCTGTGTCAAAAGAACCAAGAGCAAAGGAGGAGGAGGGGGAGGAACCCTGGCTTTAAAGGTGCTGCTCTCCTGATAAACCAGAAAAACAGCAAAAAGGGACTGAGCCTGTGGCTTGCTGGTACAGCTTGCTTAGCCTGCAAGAGGTTCTGAGTTCAGTCCCCTCTACCACGTACAAGTGGGTACGGTCACATGCCTAGGTAATCCCAGCAAGTAGGAGGTGGAGGTGGGGCCATCAGGAGTCTGAGCAAGTAAAAAGAAAAGAACAGTGATAATGGTGGAGCCAGGTATGCGGGCCAGGCCTGCAATCCCCACACTGAGGCAGGGCTGAGGCAACAGGACTGCTGAGGAGTCAAGGCTAAATTCAAAACCTGAGTTCAAAACCAACCTGGGCTACAGCGCGAGACTCCCGGCTCAAGGGGAAAAAAACAAAAGCTGGCTAATCTAAACTCAGTGGTATTGTGTCGAAACAAGTGTCCCATCTTTCTGTAAAACAGGCCGGTCTTGAACTCATTGTGAATTCTCTGTTCTCCTGCCTCAGCCTCCTACTTACTAGGGTTAGAGAATCGCACTGCTGGCTGTGGTCCCGCTTTGAAACTGCGCCCAAATAGACCGGCGTTTCCTTTCTCTGCGGTAGGCTTTTGTCCCTATCACATTTCCACTTTCTGTGCTTTCTTTCACTGATTTATTATTTATGTGTGTGCACGCACACACATACAAACATGATAGGCACACATGTGGAGGTCAGAGAACAACATACAAACTTGGTTCTCTGCTGCTTCCAGGTGGTTCTGGAGAAGCACTCTGGATCGACTTGTTGGCAGGAAGGCTTACCTGCTCCACCATGTTGCCAGCCCCACATTCCTGTTTGCTTAGGTTTCGTTACATTTGTCCAACATAATGGGTGTCAGTTTTCCTATATTCAGATCATCCTGACTGCCCTTGTTCTCTCCAACAGTTAATGACCTGACTTCCCTTCACAGAAGAGAGGACCCTGACTCTTGCTTTTCTTTTTCTGGTTTGTAAGGGCTGTGTCATATGTGTGTCTCTAGTTCTTTAAACTTTCTGGGTTTTATTATTAGGTTCTGGGAACAGTTAAAGGCTTAAGTTAAGTTGTTTCAAAACAAAAACAAAATCTCCCAAGCACAAAACAGCATAGGCTAGGACTGCAGGGTTTGACAGGACCTAACAGTGCCACCCACTCTGCTGGGCACTGTGTTCCAAAGGAGCTTTAAAGTGGGGTTGGGAAGGGGGAGAGAGATTGATTAACTGATTGATTGGTTACTGGTCTTTATTCTTGACTTTCCAATTCAGGCCTGGGCCTAGAAATAAATGCTCAGCCAGAGCATATTAAGAGCCCAGGCCGGAAGCCAGGTGGTGGTGGCACACGCCTTTAATCCCAGCTCTCGGGAGGCAAAGGCAGGCAGATCTCTGTGAGTTCGAGACCAGCCTGGTCTACAAGAGCTAGTACTAGGGCAGGCTTCAAAGCTACAGAGAAACCCTGTCTCCAAAACAAAACAAAACAAAACAAAAACCCCAAAACAAAACAAAGAGGCCATGCCATGTGGTTGTGGCACACACTTTTAATCCCAGCACTCAGGAGGCAGAGGAGGCAAAGCTCTGTGAGTTCGAGGCCAGTCTGGTCTACAGAGCGAGTTCTAGGACAGCCAGGGCTACACAGAGAAACCTTGCTTCAAAGGAAAAAAAAACCCCAACCCACTTATATGTCCAACATTCATCACCCAATAACTAAATTCTACTTTTTTACTATTTGTTTGTTTGCTTGATTATTTGGCTATCTATCCTCTATCTATCCATCTATCTATTTTCAGTGCTGGAGATTGGACCAGGCAAGCAGTCTACCATCTATCTATCTATCTATCTATCTATCTATCTATCTATCTACCTATCTACCTATCTCTCTATCATCTATCTATATCCATTCATCCATCTATCTGTCTATCTATCTATCTATCTATCTATCTATCTATCTATCTATATCCATCCATCCATCCATCCATCTATCCATCCATCTATCCATCCATCTATCCATCCGTCCGTCCGTCCGTCCATCCATCCATCCATCCATCTATCTATCTATCTATCTATCTATCTATCTATCTATCTACCTACCTATCTCTCTATCATCTCTCTATCATCCATCCATCCATCCATCCATCCATCCAGGCAAGCAGTCTACCATCCTGCTGCATCCCCAGTCTTAGATTCCTATTCTTGTCTGATTTATGAAATTATAGCTTTTGTCTCATTGTTGCGGGCTGTAATAAGGTTTCCTGGCAGGGCACCCCAATTCCTGAATTGGCCAAGTCAGAGGAGGTGAAAGCTTGCAGTTCCTGGAACATTCTTTTGGAAGCTCATAGAACCTGCCCTTTTTGAACAACAGAGAAAAACTGAGTGGCCTGAGGAGCTGCCGTGACCCTACAGTGTGACAACGATGTGCCCGGTTTTCAGGGATTTTGCACTTTTAGGACTTGCCCCTTCCCAGGCCTCTGAAAACAGGACAGTTCAGTCACTGTCTGAGCCTAGGACAGTGGCTATTTTCTCTCAGCTCTGGCTTTTCCTTCCATGACATACATTTGCTTCAGCTGCTATGTGACAGACCACAGTGTCATGCAGAGCCCGACATTCCCTTCCACAAGATGTGGGAAGACAACACCTCCCTTCCTGGTGCGACCCAGGGCTCTCCAGCCTCCTAGGCATTACTAGCAGCACTCGGGGAGTGCCCTGCGGGCCAGGGAAGGCTACCAGCTGGCCCAAGACTTGGGGAGCTGCCCCATGGGCCAGGAAAGGCTACCAGCTCACCCGAGACTATGCAGAAGTAGAGCATGGGGCTGCAGACTGGATGCTCCGGTCACCCTCCACGCACACCAGGCTCACTCCTGTCCTTCTTTTTCTCAATGTCACATGAAGTGAAGTCGCTGCCTGGGATCCCTCCGATTCCTGCCCCAGCCATTGCCACCTTCAGCCAAGCCCCAAGCCAGCCTCAGGCATCACAGACCCTGACACCACTGGCCCTACAAACTGCCCCCCAGGTAAGGGCCACATCCGGGAACCAGACAGAGGGCAGTGGGCAGGAGCAAGCATGGGGTGGCCATGGGGTTGGAAACCGCATGAGGCAGGGCAGGACGGAGGCTGTGGCTTGAGGGAGGAAATCGCCTACTTAGGTATCCCAGGCTCTCTCTGCCCCAGATCAGCGAAGAGGATGTGTGGGTTGCTGCTGGACAGCTTCCCTGGGTCCAGAGGGGATTAGGGTTAACTCTTTCCTGGGAGGATTTGTGCTTATCTGATAATGAAATGAATAAGCACCCATGTCAGCCCCTTCAACAGAGGAAGAGTTAATGGATTGCCCAGTCTTCAGTTAAGTTATAATACTGCCCAACCAATGAAGGGGCCTATAGAATCCCACAGGCCAGCGGAGCCTGAGTGACCTCTGCTCGTGCACTGACCTCCAAGGCTTCTAGCCAGGGTGCCCCCCATTAGAGCCTCTTGGAGGCCTTTGTGGGCCCTGACCACTTGGGAGCAGCCTGTGGCCCCCATTCTCTGGCCACAAAACAGTGGGTGCACTAAATGGCCAGCTCTGAAAACACACATACAAGTGACATTACACAGACTGAGCAGGTTGTACTTAGGGCTTTGGGAACACACACACACACACACACACACTAATAAAAAAAAATGAGGCCATATGAAAGAGAGTAAGGAGCTGAATAATGGAGACTTTGGAGAGAGGAAAAAGAAGGGGAAATGATGTGATTGTTTTCTAATCTCAAAAACTAAAGGAAACAATGAGAAAGAACAAACACTGTACCCGCAAACACGCCCGGGGAAGGTCTAAGAGGCAGCACACTGCAGGGGGCCGTGCACCCTGACCCTTGGATGCAGGGCCAGTCCTTTTCCTGGGCTGGCCCTGGAAAGTCAGACTATCTCTGCAGGCAGGATAGTCTGGTCCAGACACCGTGGGTTAGGCTTCGGCTGGGGCTACTCTTGCTTTCCTCAGCCTTTGTCCCCCTGCCCTCAGAATGCTTGCTTATGCTCAGCTGGGTCCAAGAGGCCCTCGTTTGCGCTGTGGATGTTGATTTTTTTTATTTTTTCTTTTCTTTTTGAAATCTTGTTTGCTTTTGCAGGTCTTGACTCAGGAAAACTTAGCCACAGTTCTGACAGGAGTTGTGGTTCCGGCAGGGGCGGTTACTCAACCTCTTCTTATCCCCATCAGTATTGCAGGTCAGGTGTCTGGGCAGCAGGGGCTGGCCGTGTGGACAATCCCTACAGCAGCCGTGGCTGCCCTCCCTGGACTGGCCGCTGCGTCTCCTACCGCGGCAGTCTTCAAGCCACCGTTAGCTGGGCTCCAAGGTAACGGCAACTCTCCCCAGGACTGCACCGGGCCCCCACCACCCTACACTGCCACCCCTGCACGTGTGCTTACCATGTTGGACTCAGATCCTGCAGTCCACCTGGGGTAACAACCCTGGATTCTGGATCCAGTGTCATAGGCACTCAGCCACAGAGCCGCTGCACCGCCTCGGGACCCTAGGCCAGGACACCAGGCTGGCCAGCAGGCCTGTCTTCCTGCAACCAGCTGCTTGAGACTGCCCCCTCCCCCTACCAGCATCCACCCCATGACCAGCAAGACGGACCACAAGAAGAGTCAACATCTGGTTCTCGAACCTACATGTCTGCTGACCCAAGGGAGGGGGGAATAAGAGATGCTGGCGTGTGTCAGCCCTTCAAGAATCAAGGGAATTGCAGCTGCCCCACGCCCAGTGCCCCCAGTGTCCTGTCAGTTTCGTACCAGATCCCTTGGGACTGGAACCAAGCCGGGTCACGGCTCGGCCCTTGAGCGCCTCTGTCTCTGCCTTGCTCCATAGCAGCTGCCGTGCTGAACACCGCTCTCCCGACACCTGTACAAGCTGCCCCACCAGTCCAGGCCTCCTCTCCCACCCAGCCCCGGCCACCAGCTCAGCCCCAGACGCTGTTCCAGACCCAGCCGCTGCTACAGACCACGCCTGCCATACTCCCACAGCCCACTGCTGCCACCGTCGCCGCCCCCACCCCGAAGCCAGTGGACACCACCCCACAGATTACCGTCCAGCCTGCCGGCTTCGCGTTTAGCCCAGGGATCGTAAGCTGCTGCCCTCACCCAAGGGCTCCAAGGGATGGACCAAAGTTTGGGCCAAGGGTGGAACTTACCCCACAGTGGAGGACCAGCCCCTTGAATACAGCCATTTCTGATGCATCAGCAAAGATGGGCTCCCTCTGAGGTCTTCTCCTTGCACCTGTCAGCCTGTCCTACCCAGACTAAAGCAAGCAACGACTGGGGAATTGCTCCAGACGGAACTGCTGGACCAGCCTTGGGGGCGGGGCACGCAGGAGCAGCTCAGCTTCATGCTGGCATCTATCCTGTGTGGCTCTTGGTTTGGGAGCAGAGAATCAGGCATGACTTGGGGGCACTTTTGTTCTTCTAGTCTGGTCTTCTGCCCTCCTAGACTTAACTGGAAAAAGCAGTAGAAGTCACTGTTCTGTGACTGCCCCTCCCTGGTTCCCCGCTGTCCCCTTACTTGTCCCTCTAGCCTTGACTATTTAGCCAGTGGACACCCTCACCGCTCGAAAGTCTCAGCCCTCTTTCCTCTCTCTGGTCTTTCTTGCCCCTTGGCCTCTGAGCAAGGCTCTTCCTCTACCCACAGATCAGTGCTGCCTCCCTCGGGGGACAGACCCAGATCCTGGGCTCCCTCGCCGCGGCTCCAGTCATTACCAACGCCATTCCCAGCATGCCGGGGATCAGCAGTCAGATCCTCACCAATGCTCAGGGACAGGCAAGTGAGAGCAGGGCTGAGGGGCGGTGGCTGTGGGCGGCTGGCTAGGAAGGGCTGCATACGTGGTCTTAGCAGGGCGTCAGCCGACGTCAGTCCAGGAGAGAGTGTAGTTGCCACTGCACCTGCCAGTGCTGGCTCTAGTGGGGGATTTTATCCACACAGTTCCCGCTTTGTGGTCGGGCCTCACGCTCCGTGCTTTCTCATGTATTATCTCACTGAGTACAAACCTTTCCGGGGATCTTTTGTTTTATAGGAGAGAAGGGTAAAATTCAGAACTACTAAACCCCACAGCTAACGTGTGGCAGACTAGCAGAGAGTTTCCAGTTCTCTGATATACAAAAAACCCTTCACCTGCCTCATCCCAGCTCTAGGGACAGCAAAGAAAGGAAGGCTTGAGTGTGAGTCCTTTACTCTGCCTGTTGAGAAAGCAGAGGCCAGAATGCTTAAACAGCTTCTCAGAGTTAGTCTCTTGCCTGCAATTGTGGGGATTTGAGTTGGTGATCCTGGATGCCCCACTCCCCTCAAATTTAGGGACCATGCCTTATTTTCTCCAGGTTATTGGAGCACTTCCGTGGGTAGTGAACTCGGCTAGTGTGGCCACACCGGCACCAGCACAGAGCCTACAGGTCCAAGCCGTGACTCCCCAACTCTTGCTGAATGCCCAGGGCCAGGTGATTGCAACCCTAGCCAGCAGCCCCCTGCCTCAACCTATGGCTGTCCGGAAGCCAAACACACCGGAGTCCCCTGCTAAGAGTGAGGTACCAGGTCTGGGGGTATGGATGGGCACGGGAAGGCAATACTGTGTAGCATGGCTACTTCCCTCTGAAACTTCTGGGAGAACAAGGCGCCTCTCAAAGTGAGGACCTCCCACAGCAGAAGGCTTATATGAGTTCACACATACCCCGCCCAGGGAAACAGCTCCCATTCTCAGGCCGCTACATACCGCAACATGTGTCTGTGCCCACGGAGGTCAGAGAGCACGGGAAATGAGTGAGCACAGCAGATTGGACGCTGGTCATCCTTTGGGGAGCAAACGGCTAGAAAAGCCCCGGGTTGTGAATTCTGTACCCCGCACACTGGGCATTTTGACTCTTCTTTGTTTCCATTCTAGAAGAGATTTTGAGTGCCCATTATGTACCAAATGCTAAGGATGCAGGATGACTGGGATTGCTTGCTACCTAGGACACCTTAGGTATGAAGGAGACATGCATCAGGCCTGTAGAACCCCACAAACGAGCCCCGACAGGCTGGGGTCAGGACAGCTCCAGAGAGGAAGGATGAGTTGAATGTAGGATGTGCTGTCTGTGGGAACTGAACAAGCATGCGGCCAGAGTGGGGGTCACTGGCTTGTGCCCTGGGGTCTCCTGCAGGGGTCTGCAGGACGAGTTCCCAGATACGCTCTATTAGGCCCACGATTGTCTAATGCTATGTGTTTGCCTCCAAGAAAATTGTAAATGACCCTTAGTCTCATCTGGAAGAGATTGGCTATAAGAATTCCTACTTCTGCTGGGTGGTGGTGGTGACACCTTTAACCCCAGCACTTGGGAGGCAGAGGATCCCTGAGTTTGAGGCCAGCCCCAGTGTACAGAGTGAGTTCTAGGGCAGCCGGGGCTGCACAGAGAAACCCTGTCTCAAATGAAAAAAGGGGGGGAGAGAGAGAGAGAGAGAACAAAAAAGGCTTAAGTTTGGGGGCTGGAGAAAAGGCTCAGCAGTTAAGAGCACTAGCTGTTCTCCCAGAGGACCCAGGTTCAATTCCCAGCACCCACATGGCAGCTCACAACTGTTTGTAACTCCAGTTCCAGAGGACCTGGCTTCCTCACACAGACAAATATGCAGGCAAAACACCTGTGCACATAAAGAAAAAAAAAGGTAAACAAAACAAAAACCAGAATTCCTACTTCTGTCACGCATAGTGGTACACATGTGTAATCTTAGCCTGGGCTATGTAGGGAGTTCAGCTTAGGTTATGAGCTCCTGTCTTAAAACACAAAAACAAAAATAAGACAAACAAAAATCCTCTCCAGATTTTATGAATATTACACCAAGCAACTGACACTCTGGTGTACGGTTAGCTTGTGACGGTAGTGCTGACTCTCATCATGGCAGGAGCTGCTGCCACGTTCTCAGTGGCTGACAGATGTGCTTCATGTGCTTCTCAGACCTGCCCCCAACTGACAGATGTGCTTCTTAGACCCGCCCCCAACTGACAGATTGACAAGTGTGCATCTTAGACCCGCCATAACTGACAGATGTGCATCTCGGATCCTCCCCCAGCTGACAGATGTGCTTCTTAGATCCGCCCCTTTAAGTTTTTCCTTTTTTATCTATGCTGCTGGGGATTGAGCCCAGGGTCTTGTTCATGCCAGGTACAGCATTATTGTCTGGTTCTCTGAGCCCTAGTAGTTCTAGGGAAAGACTAAAGCCAGGTCCTGGGGACTAGGGGATAGGTTTAAGAGCTAGCAGGAGACAGAATCCAAAGAACAGAAAATCCAGGAAAAAACTGGATTTCCTAAAAAGCTTATGGGTTTTTTATTTTGTTTTGCTTTTGTTTTTGGTTTTTTGAGGAAGGGGCATCATTGTCTAGCCCTAACCATCCTGGAACTAACTATGTAGCCCAGGCTGGCCTAGAACTCAGAGACCCACCCACCTCTGCCTCCTGAGTGCTGGGGCTAGAGGTGTGGCACCACACTGGTTGGTTTTGCTTTAAGTCATACTAATAATGCTAATTTCAGATGTTTGTAGTTTGTCCTGATCATAAATAAGATACATAACTTTAATTAACATTACAACATTATATATCATATAAAAAATAAAAATCAAAGCCAGGCAGTGGTGGCGCACACCTTTAATCCCGGCACTCGGGATGCAGAGGCAGGTGGATCTCCATGAGTTCGAGGCCAGCCTGGTCTACAAAAGCTAGTTCCAAGAAAACTAGGACTGTTACATAGAGAAATCCTGTCTAGAAAAACAAAACAAATAAACAAACAAAAGAAAAGAAAAGAAAGAAAAGGTAAAAATTGGGCTAGGTAGATAGATCAGTGGTCCAGATGCCCATTGTGCTCTGTGCGGACTGGAGTTTGGATCCCCTGCACCCAGGTAAATGTTGGGTGAGTGTGGTGGCCCATGTGTAACTCAGCACTCAGAAGGCAGAGGACGCCAGAGCAGTCTGCTAGCCACACTAGCCAGCCACGTGAGTGAATTCTGAGCTCAACTGAGAGAGACTGCTTTGGTGAATGAGGTGGAACCCTTAATGTCAGCCTTGGACCTCCACTCTCATGTGGCACACATGTATACCCACATACATGCAGACGTGTACACACACAACACAGATGCATGAGAGAAAAAATAAGAATTAAGACAGGTGTGGTGATACATACCAGTAATCCCAACATTTGGGAGGTGTAGGCAGGAGGATTATAAATTCGAGGTCAGCCTTGGACACGGAGAGAGAACAATCCCATCTCTTGTTAATATTATCAGGTAGCTTCTAGTTCTGCTTTTGGATGGCCCCAGGCGGGAGTGCCTGGGTAGCTCAGAATTTCCTGTCCATCTCTCTCCTGGTGCTGGCTTCCCAGGGATTGAGACCCCCTAAGTTAGGCACGGGTCATGGAGCTTGTGTCTCTTCTCATAGATGCAGCCTATCCAGCCGACGCCGGCTGTGCCGCAGCCTGCCGTGGTCATCACCAGCCCGGCCTCAGGAGTCAAGCCTTCTGCCTCAGCTCCCATCCCAATCACCTGCTCTGAGACCCCTACCGTCAGTCAGCTGGTCTCAAGTAAGTGACTCGAAGAAGAGGAATGTGGATCTGGGGTACCGGGAGCACCTCCAGTCCCAGCTGCTCTAAGACTGGGATGGGAGGAGCCTTTTAGTGCAGGAGTTGAAGGCCAGCCTACTGAGGCCCTGTCTCAAGTCAGTCCATAAATTCCTGGTGTCCAAAAGGAAAGGGTAAAGGCCCAAAGCAGAAAGGTGGTAACTCTGAATTTCTTTCCCATTTATTTGTTTGTTTGGGATTAGGGGTGGGGCGTGAGTATCCATGGCGTGCATGTGGGTCCCACTCAGGTCTTCAGGCTGAGTGGCGAGTGTCTTTACCCACTGAGTCTCTTGCCTCTACCAGCAGGTGGCTTTCTTACTCCCTTTCCTGTTGGAGTGGCTGTGAACATGGTGGAAGTGAGGCTGCTTAGCCGTCCATCTGGTCACGCTTTGCCACTGGCTAGCTCAGTGTGGTCTCACCCAGTTCTGAGAAAGACAGATAGCCAGTAGGTGTGCCTGGGACCAGACTAGGGAGCGTGGGAGAGGTGAGCAGTTAGACCTGGGAGAACTAAGAATAGACCACCTCAGTAGCTTGTTCTAGAGCCCTTTCCAGCAAGTCCTGTTCGTCGGGGGGGGGGGGGGGAGACGCGGTGATGAGGGTCTGTTGGTAGAGGTCCCCAACCCCTTTCCTACACCAGGCTAGACCCATGGCCCAGAGTAGCATGATGGCTGTCTTCATCAGGAGGCTTCATCAGGAGGCTGACTCCTCCTGGTCCTTCCCTCTGTCCCAGAGCCGCACACCCCAAGCCTGGATGAGGACGGGATCAACTTAGAAGAGATCCGGGAGTTTGCCAAGAATTTTAAGATCCGGCGGCTCTCCCTGGGTCTCACACAGACCCAGGTTGGCCAGGCTTTGACTGCAACAGAAGGTCCAGCCTACAGCCAATCAGCCATCTGCCGGTAAGTACGAGTATCCCCAGATAAAGCCAGGATAAAGCTCCGTGCCATAGCCGGCTGTCATGGGAATCCGGGAATCCAGTCCCTTTTCATGTTTCCCCTCACGCTGACTCCTTCCAGATAAGGAATACTGTCCTGTTGAGGGCATGGCCACTTGGAGTAGCCAAAGACTGACCCAGGCTTCTAAAGTTTAGGTAGATTCCAACCCTGAGTATTTAGATGTTCACGGGAGGGAGGCCACTGAAGCCTCCTAGCAGGAGAGAGTTATGACTTAGAAACGTGCTCGGTCTTGGCCCTCGGCTGTCAGTCCCCTGGTGTGTGCCTGCTGCCTTGCCTCCCACGCCTGCCAGGTCGGCTCAGCTTGAAGGTGCAGCAGGCCTTGTTCTGAGGCTGCCGTGGGAGCAGTGAGAGGAGAGTGGGTCTTTTGATGATTCAGGACTTCAGTCATTTGGGGGTGAAAGTTCTGGTCAAGGCAGAGCGTGCTGTCATTGCCTGCCTACAGAGGCTGTGGGCATCTCTCCTTCATGAGGCCTGGGATATGGAAAGTCTGAGGAATCTGGGCTTTGAGGGGCCAGGAGGGTGGGGACACTGAGAAGCAGGTGAGCCTCCCCTGCGAGTAATGTTTTTCCCTCATGGGAGATGTATGGAGGAGCAACTGCACTGTCGCGGTTCCTTCTCCAGGTTTGAGAAGTTAGACATCACACCCAAGAGTGCCCAGAAGCTGAAGCCGGTTCTGGAGAAGTGGCTGAATGAGGCGGAGCTCCGGAACCAGGAAGGCCAGCAGAATCTGATGGAGTTTGTAGGCGGTGAGCCCTCCAAGAAACGCAAGCGGCGCACCTCCTTCACGCCGCAGGCCATAGAGGCTCTTAATGCCTACTTTGAGAAGAACCCCCTACCCACTGGCCAGGAGATCACCGAGATCGCTAAGGAGCTCAACTATGACCGTGAGGTGGTACGGGTCTGGTTCTGTAATCGACGCCAGACACTCAAAAACACCAGCAAGCTGAACGTCTTTCAGATCCCTTAGGGCTTCCTCTCAGCCCTTGTTCCAGCACTTTCTACTGTTCCCTCAGCAACTGGCTGTCGTCACTGCGGCGACAGTACCATGTGCAGCTGAGCTTGCCCTAGGTCATGAGACTCCACCTGTGCATGTGTGTCAATGCCTGCCTCTTCTGCCCAATATGTCACACCCTGGGGAGGCCCAAGGGGCTGCATGAGAGCCCTAGGCTCTGGGCTGGGCACATGGAAGGAGGGGATTTATGGCATTCTCTCAAAAAGCACTTTGCCAACATGGTTTCTGAAGGGTATGTTCTGGTTGGAAACCAGAAAGGCTCTGTCTTTGGGGCAGGGCTGTAGCAACTCTTTGGGAACGCTGTGCACTAGCTCTTGTTTTTGGTGACACTCTCCACCCCTTGCCCTTAGCTCCTCCGAGGTTGTGCCAGTGTGACAGCTCACCCAGCCTCACACTGCCCCCTTTTACTTTTGACACGGGCACATTGAACCCCTTAAAGGACCAAGGAGATGAAGTTCAGAAGTGTGACTCACTGTCTGCCTTGACCTCCAGCAGAAAGTCCCGTAACTGTGGGGTCAGATGCTGGGAGGTTCCTCCTGGGGTCCTGGGAGCGGTGGGATTGCACTAATGCAGAACCTTTCCTCTGCAAACCAAGTGGGAAGGAAAGCAACAGCGAACTCTCCCATCCTGGAGAGTCTTAGGTCTGTCGCAAGTCTGGAATTTAGTAAATAAGGCCATCCACCCAGATTTTAATCTAATTGTCATCTGTGACTGTCCTCCAAGAAAAGCTCTCTAGGGAGCTGTCAGCTTGGGAACATTTCCACTGCCCACTCACACAGGCAGCTACAGGGGGCGCGGATACCCTCTCTTATGCCCATACCCATCTCATTCCAGCACTGAGGCCTCTTTAGAGGAACAAACTGAGTGAGAAGCCAGAAAGCAAGGAGCCGGAGTGAGGAGGAGGGCAATGTTCAGAAAGATGATGGTCCAGGAAGACGTCTAGTTGACACTGGCTTACCTCTCGCTTTCTTTGTAACTTTAAGTCTTGGATGTTGGAGTTTTCACTTTGTCAGATTGCAGACCAGGTCTGTGTGTGACAAGCCCCGGGCCGCTCTGCCATGCTCCTCTGAGCCAAGAGTGCCCAGGTCGGTATGGACTTTGCCTCCGTAGGTGATGGCACGCTGGGGGCTAGCATCATATTCAAGTCTCTAAGTGAGCTTCCAGAAACAGGGAGGCTGGCCAGCCCTTTGATGTCAGTGTGTTTGCTGGAGAACATAGCTCGGTGGGAGAGAACTTAGCACTTACAAGGCTCCAATTCAGTTTCTAGCACTGAGGAGAAATGCAATTAGTATTTGGTTTCAGGAAGTCAGGAAAGAGCTAAGATAATTGCTTGAATGACCCCAGAATTGCCACGTAGACTGCCCTTGTCTACAAGGATAAGGACAACCAGTCACTACTTTTTGGTTTGGTTTGTTGTTTTGTTTTTTGAAATAGGATCTCACTTAGTCCAAGCTGACTTGAAACTTGTGGTTGAAAATGACCTTGAACTCCTAATTGACCCTCCTGTGTCCACCTCCCAAGTGCTGGGATTATAGCCTGTGCCACCGCGCCACCGTGCCACTGCTCCTGGCTCTTCTCCACTCTCAGCCTTACAGAGCCTGCGGTGTAGATGCCCACCTTGCACCTCGTGTGATCTGCCCCGAGGAAATGACAGTCAAACAAACATTACCTTCTCTGCTGATCACAGTGCAGAGACACTGAGGCCTCGCTTCCTCTCTTCTCTGTCCCCTTTCCTCTTGGGTCCTGCGGTCCCAGTATGGAGAAGCAGCTGGTAGCTCTCCAGTGAGACGGGGACAGCAGTCTGTGAATTAACACACACACTCCACGGCATTCACACCAACCAAACCTGCTGGGGTCTGCAGGGGATAAGGAGGCAGGTGCGCAGCTCTCCTGACTCTGCCTCCCAGGACAGCGTGTCCCCAGAGGGGGAAGGCCATCTCCTTGACGACTGTGATTGTCAGCTGCTTCCGTGTGATGGGAAGTCAGGAGGGTACTGCACGTGAGTTTTCAGTGCTGATGCTTACATCTTGGAGCTTATCAAGTGACTCACTTGAGAAATTTTATGCAGCTTTTCTTGCTCAAAACCTGCACCCAAGAGTGCTGTTTTCTGTGGGGTGGCATGCTGTATGAAGTGTGGCCATGCTGCGGCCATGCAGGAGGATGCCATCTGTTCTGTGGCATGATGGGAAAAAATCATGAACAACTGATCTAAATTAAATCTGGCCTGCTTTCTCACCTCGTCCTTGGTCTAAACTTGTCTTCCCAAGGCGGGACTAGAGTAAACCATTTTCTCCTGTGTAGGAAAGATGCATTCGGAACAGTAGGAGAGCCCTGATGTTTACAGGCTGGACTTCCCAAATGCGAGGTGCAAGGTATGCATAAAGTGTCCTCAAAGTATAGTTTATTTCGACCTATGAACTCTGCCTCTGCTCCCCCAGTCTGAGCCACTAACCTACAAGGTAGTTTTTGTTGTTCTTTGGGTTTGGGGAACATTAGACTCTAAAAAAGAGTTAACAGTTTTATTTCGAAAGCACCCTCCTGGACTTAAGCCCATGCCCAGTGGCTCTCTTGCTCTGGAAGACAGGAGAATGGGCAGAAAGCGGTCAAATCTGTGGTTGGCTAGTTCGAAGTGGCAGGAAACTAGAACTGTCTATGGCCTGCTGAATCAGCTGGGCTCTTTGACCCTGCGCTAACTATGGCGTTTTTTTATCCATGCAAAGTCCAGAGAAGAAACTGGTCACGTGAACTGTAAATGCACTTGAGTTTGGAATGAGAAAGCCTGATGTGTTTGTGTTCTTGAAAATCCAGTCGCCTTCCTGTGCCCAGGATTCCCTCCCTGCCTGCTAGGCCAGATTCTGGCATTGACGTCCTGATGGTCTCCCCGCAAGGGGCACTGCCCCTGGAAGCTGGGAGGAGAACAGGGGAGAAGCACTTGGTGTAGTTGTGTGAATAAACACTATTTTTTCTTTTGTATTGCTCTGCCTATTTTGTTACATCTCAGATGTGAGGGAGCCGAGGCTGCATCAGAGCTGCCTTTGTTGCCGAAGGCTTGCCTAGAGGGACAGACAGGTCAGCGCCCGGTTTCCACGTCACGCCATCCTGTTTGGGCCTTCCAAGCTTTGACTCTCCCTCTGGGGATGGGGGTGTGCAGGGCTAAGAGGGCCCTTTTTCTCCTAAACTATCCTTCTGGTACTTAGTGTCTCAGAATCTCCTGCCGAGGCTGCTTTTGCATTCTTCTTCGACCCAGTGACAGGCTATGCTGTTGGTGTGTGAGCCTCCAGTTCCTATCCAGGCTGTAATAAAAATCCCTCATCTTGAGCAGCTTTTAATAAGTGAAAGTCCCTGCTTATAGTTTTGGAGCCTGGGGGGGGGGTGTTGTCTACCTGGACAGAGCCTGGTGTCTATCTGGTGAGGGTCTCTACCTGGAAGGTATCTATCCGGTGAGGGTCTCTACCTGGAAGGAGCCCTGTGTTTATCCTGTGAGGACCTCTTCCTGAAAGGATCCTGGTGTCTATCTGGTGAGGGCCTCTTGCTCATAAATGGATGTCTTTACATGGAATGTTTTGTGGTAGAGAGAAACATGCTCCCTCAGGCATCTTTTTAAAGGGCTCCGTGCCCTCATGACTTAATCAACAGTAACAACAGCTTGATTTATACAGCTCAGCTCTTTATTAAAATTGCTTTGTGCTAAGCGGCTCCTTCCCCAGCCTGCACATGTTCAGGACAGGCCTGCCTCTGAGTTTAGAGTTTAAGAGCCAGCTGCCAAGAGGGCTCCTCTTGCCCCGTCTACCTCTAGGAGTGGTATTCATGCCATGTCCCTGGCTGCCCTCACTCACCTGGCGTGGATGACTCTGAATGGAGAAACCTAAACGGGCAAGAATAAGTGAGCCCTTCCCTCCACTTCATTCCAGATCAGTTCTTCCTCCCTGCCCAAGCCCAAGGGGTTAAGGGATGCCAGAGTCTGACCCAAGGCTTGGGGTATCTCGGAATGGAGTTGGTCTTGAGTTTTACTCTTCCTTTCTACCTGACCAGAACTCTGAGACCTATATGCCCAATGCAATTTCCGATTAATATTTAATACCTTTGCCAAACTTTGAGATACTTTGTCCACGAATGCCAGGCAGTTGACAGGCCCCAAGGCTAGAGAATTAGTTCCCGAGGAAGGTTTTGTGTGGGTGGGGTAGGCATCCCCCTTTCCTGAGAAGATGTGCACAAACACCAACAGGTACCTCTAGCCCCTAACAGTAGGCCTGATTTCAGCGAGGTCCGATGTTCAGTGCTCCCCAGGTCCAGTCCCTCGAACCCAGGTCCCTCAAAGGACGCTTCCTGCCCCTTTGGGCTTTACCTGAGCATAGGGGCACAGCTAGAAGTGGTGTCTTTAACCAATCTCTCCACATTTGGAACATAATAGCTGAGTCTGAGGAGTTCAGCAGCTTTTGTGGTCCCCTAGGTGTTGTTGGTAGATACCCAAAGCCAGTCATCTTCCCATACCCATGAGTGGGTGTGCCGCCTGGCAGTGTCCACTGTCCTTGCTCATCTTGTGTGGCCAGTTCCTGTCCTACCCCGTCAGTCTCTCCTGGGGTGTATTCCAGATGGTTCAGTAAACCGGCAGGGATTCCAAGACTTAGAGAAGATGCACTGGTTTGAGGGCCTGGATGGCACGGCAGCTGCTTTGCTGCCTCTGGCTTCAAGAGGGTCCCCCTTTTGGTGTCCTTTGCAATGGACATTGGCCACCCTTTTAGATAGCCCCCAATAGTGGTAAGATTTATTTTTTATTTCTTTTCCTACTGAGGTCAGCAACCCCCTTTCCCTGTATAGAGAGCCCTGTGAATATGAGTCACAATGAAAGCAGATCGACGGTCAGTGTATATGCTGACAGCCTTGTCTTTCCCAAGCAGAGTGCTTGAATTAAAGCTCAGCCCATTGACCTGAAGCTCCTCTGCTTAAAGACTATGCCTCGGGTCATCACTGCTGCCCCTGCAAGCCTAGTCCAGTCTTGGATGAAACTGTTCTGGTCTGTGAACAATTCGTCATCTGGTGTTGCCAACAGGATGTCAGGCAGATCGTGGCTGATGAACCAGATCAGGGAAGTCACCTCAAGACAGCTGTACAGGTATTCCGTAGGGTCATTGTCCATCAGGTGAACGGCAGGGCTGAGGGATGATGTCTTGTGGAAACAGATTGGAAGTTAATGCAGAAACAGGGTTTGGTATGGAGTCACCCAGGTATGTCCCCCTCAAGAGAATGTGGGGCTGTCAGGGACAATTCTTGCCCTAAAATCAATTTGTCAGCTTCTTTTACCAGCAGTGATCTCCTAGTTAGGGTTTCTATTGCTGTAAAGAGACATCATGATCATGGCAACTCTTATAAAAGAAAGCATTTAATTGGGTAGCTTAAAGTTCAGATGTCTAGTTCATTATCATCACAGTGGGACACGGTGGCATGCAGGCAGCCATGGTGCTGGAGAAGCTGCTGAGACTTCTGCATCTGGATATGCAGGTGACAGGAAGTTATCAATCTCACTGGGTGTGGTCTGAGCACCCCACAGTGACACACTTCCTCCAACAAGGCCACACCTCCCAATAGTGTCACTCCCTTTGGGGGCCATTTTCTTTCAAACCTCCACATTCCATCTCTGACCCCCAGAGGCTTGTAGCCATATCATAGTGCAAAAATGCATTCAGCCCAACTTCAGAAGTCCCCATAGTCTATAGCAGTCTCAAACTTATTTAAAAGGTTAAAGTTCAAAGTTTTTACTGAGATTCATGCAATCTTTTAACTGTAATCCCCTGTAAAATTAAAATTAAAAAGCAGATCACATATTTCCAACATATAATGGCACCGGTATACATTACCATTTCAAAACATAGGGAAGGGAGCGTAGTGAGAAAATTCTGAACCAAAGCAAGACTGAAAACCAGCTGGGCAGACTCTGCGTCTCCGTGTCTGACGTCAGCACTCTTCAGATCTCCAACTCCTTTCAGCTTTGTTGACTGAAACACACTTCTTTCTCTTGAGTGGGTTCTACTCCCTGTTAGCAGTTTTCCTCATCGGGTATCCCCTGACTCTGGAATCTCCAACATCTTGGGGTCTCTATGACAATCCAGGCTTCAACTTCACAGCTTCACGAAATGGCCTCTCTGGGCCTCCATTCAGGGACACCCTGACACATGCCTGGCCTCGGCAGCTTTCCTTAGTCTTGGGAACAAATTCCATAGCCCCTTTCTTCAATCCTTAACTCTAAGGCCAGAACAACGTGACCAAAGTTGCCAAGATGTGCTGCTTACTGGGGCTGGAACACGGCCCTCTCATGCAATTACATCTTCTCCAGCTTTGTGTTCTCTATGGTTATCTTCATTGCCTAAACTTGGCTGTTCTGAAACTGAATCTGTAGACCAGGCTGGGCTCAAATGGTGCTTTTCTCCTCAGATTGTCCATTTTGTATTTTTTTTCTTGCTCGGATTGCTCCTTTTCCTTATAAATCTTCATTAGAGTTACCACTAATAACTGTAGTGGCATTTCATTTGTATTTTAATAAATGGTCTGCCTGAAGACCAGAGAGTAAAACAGCCCCACTGGCCAGTCTTACAGACCTTGCAGCAAGGATACAGACCTTTAATCCCAGTAGCCACACTAGCTTACCACAGAAACCAGGAGGTGGTGCCCTTAACTCAGAATTAGAGAGGATTAGACAGTGGGAGGAGACAGCTCTCGGTCTCATTCTGAGGTATACTGGAGGCAGGGTTACTATTTTTGGACTGATGTCGAGGTAAAAGCCAGTGGCTGGCTGCTTTGCTCTTCTGGTCTTCAGGTTGAACCCCAATATCTGTCTCTGAGTTTTTATTAACAGTGCTACAAATAACCACATGACAGAATCTGTACTAAGCAGTTTTGGGATTTTTTTCCTGCAAATGGAATTAATCCAAACTCTTCACTTTAGCCTCAGACAGACTCTTCAGACATGGGCAGAGGATGGTGCCACAAGAGTGATCTCTAGTTCTTCTCTGGAACTTCTTGAGCCAGTCCCCTATAGTTTGGATCAACCTCCCCACCACTGTCTTCCATGCTCCTACTAGCATGGCCCATTAGGCAACAATTAAAGCAGTCAATTGCTTTTCTAATCCACAGCCCCACTGTTTGGTTAGGTAAGAGCTTCTGTCAAGACGGAATGGGCTGCTCAGATGTCCACCAGGAAGTTAACATATTTGCTCCCATCTTTGCTATCAATCTGGAATCCCAGGGGCCAAGCTGTATGAGCCCTGGCCTTGTCAGTTTTCAGTTAGTTAGAGAACAGGGTGACTCTCCTTTTTATCCCCCTTCTATTAGGACATCATTTCTTCCAGTGACCTTTCTGTTTATAATAGGCGTATTTATTGGTCTTTCCCTTTCTCCTGATCTGTTTCCCTATTTACTCTCCAGTTTGTTTTCCTAAGAGCAGCAATCACTGCCCAGGAGAGTGTCTTTCCCTGTCTGTCTGCAGCTAAACCTCGGTTGTTAGAACTTTTTGACCTTTTCATCCTCTCAGATTCCTCTAACTTCTGGAGCTGTCTCCTTATATCAACCGCATGACAAGGCAACATTACTGACTTGCTGATTTTGGGGGGCATCTGGTTCTGTGGGGATAAATACTTGGTGTGCCTCATACAGCATTTCCAGAAACCCAGTGAACAATTTATCAGGTGCCTGAGTAACCTGATTCACCTTGGATGAGTTGTGGGTTTTCTCACTGCCATGTGTAGCCCCCCACAATAGTGCTTGGAAAAAAGTGTCCTGTTGAAGTTTCTGTTGGGGTGCCAGCCCCTTCAAATCTCTCAGGATTCAGAAGGACCACTACAGTAAGTGAAAATTGGCTAATAATGTCTGAGGGTAAACAAATTAGCTCACATAAATCTTTTCATCAGGCCCCATTTCCCCCTATGTTCTTTCCAATGCTCTCTCAATGTCCCTCGCTGCTTCTTACTGTTCCTTTTCAATGGTCCCCTTTAATGTTCCTCCCAACCCCACAAGACGTCCACTTTGTACACCCACACGGACATAGTTAACAGTTCCACAGACAACAGCAATGGCACCAAGCATGCGCATCACAGGATCACAGAAGCAGGTAAATCTGACAAAGTGGGTACCTTATGTCTCAGGGAGGACATGGCTGTGAAGCTCCCCTGGATACCAGCTGGATTAGTTAAGGATGAAGCTTTAAATCAGTACAGAATCCTAAG